AAAGAATGGTATTCTAATTTAAGTCAGAAAAATTTTACGTTGTGAAGGATTCGTTTCTGAGTATGCAGTTTTATTACGCTGATAGTAAACAACGTAGAAACTTTTTCCGAATTAAAATTAAAGCGTTTTTGGCTAAGTTATGAATTTTTTAAGCTTTGATTGGTCGGAAAAATGTTTATAAATATTGACTCAAAGAATGGTATTCTAATTTTAGTCAGAAGCTTCTTTCGCTATGAAGGAATCATTTCCGACCCTATAAACCATATATATTCTTGATCAGCATGATCAGCCGAGTCGATTGAGCCGTCTCCGGCCAAAATCTATTTTTTGTCAAAATCTCCGAAAATTTAAAAATTTTATAAGGGGTTACATCATTAAAATTGCCAAAAATTGGAAAAAAATTGAATCTCTTTAAATGTAAATTTGAGTATGCAGTTTCTTTAAACTGATAAAAACTAGCATTGGAACGCTTTCCGAATTAAAATTAAAGCGTTTTTGGCAAAGTTATGAATTTTTTAAAATTTGATTGTCCGAAAAAATTGTAGTACAAAATGTAGACAAATACTGACTCAAAGAATGGTATTCTAATTTAAGTCAGAAAAATTTTACGTTGTGAAGGATTCGTTTCTGAGTATGCAGTTTTATTACGCTGATAGTAAACAACATCGAAACTTTTTCCGAATTAAAATTAAAGCGTTTTTGGCAAAGTTATGAATTTTTTAAAATTTGATTGGCCGAAAAAATTGTAGTAAAAAATGTAGACAAATACTGACTCAAAGAATGGTATTCTAATTTAAGTCAGAAAAATTTTACGTTGTGAAGGATTCGTTTCTGAGTATGCAGTTTTATTACGCTGATAGTAAACAACATCGAAACTTTTTCCGAATTAAAATTAAAGCGTTTTTGGCAAAGTTATGAATTTTTTAAAATTTGATTGGCCGAAAAAATTGTAGTAAAAAATGTAGACAAATACTGACTCGAAGAATGGTATTCTAATTTAAGTCAGAAAAATTTTACGTTGTGAAGGATTCGTTTCTGAGTATGCAGTTTTATTACGCTGATAGTAAACAACGTAGAAACTTTTTCCGAATTAAAATTAAAGCGTTTTTGGCTAAGTTATGAATTTTTTAAGCTTTGATTGGTCGGAAAAATGTTTATAAATATTGACTCAAAGAATGGTATTCTAATTTTAGTCAGAAGCTTCTTTCGCTATGAAGGAATCATTTCCGACCCTATAAACCATATATATTCTTGATCAGCATGATCAGCCGAGTCGATTGAGCCGTCTCCGGCCAAAATCTATTTTTTGTCAAAATCTCCGAAAATTTAAAAATTTTATAAGGGGTTACATCATTAAAATTGCCAAAAATTGGAAAAAAATTGAATCTCTTTAAATGTAAATTTGAGTATGCAGTTTCTTTAAACTGATAAAAACTAGCATTGGAACGCTTTCCGAATTAAAATTAAAGCGTTTTTGGCTAAGTTATGAATTTTTTAAAATTTGATTGGCCGAAAAAATTGTAGTAAAAAATGTAGACAAATACTGACTCAAAGAATGGTATTCTAATTTAAGTCAGAAAAATTTTACGTTGTGAAGGATTCGTTTCTGAGTATGCAGTTTTATTACGCTGATAGTAAGCAACGTAGAAACTCTTTCCGAATTAAAATTAATGCGTTTTTGGCTAAGTTATGAACGCTTTAATTTTAATTCGGAAAGCGTTCAAATGCTAGTTTTTATCAGTTTAAAGAAACTGCATACTCAAATTTACATTTAAAGAGATTCAATTTTTTTCCAATTTTTGGCAATTTTAATGATGTAACCCCTTATAAAATTTTTAAATTTTCGGAGATTTTGACAAAAATAGATTTTGGCCGGAGACGGCTCAATCGACTCGGCTGATCATGCTGATCAAGAATATATATGGTTTATAGGGTCGGAAATGATTCCTTCATAGCGAAAGAAGCTTCTGACTAAAATTAGAATACCATTCTTTGAGTCAATATTTATAAACATTTTTATAACATTTTTCCGACCAATCAAAGCTTAAAAAATTCATAACTTAGCCAAAAACGCTTTAATTTTAATTCGGAAAAAGTTTCGATGTTGTTGACTATCAGCGTAATAAAACTGCATACTCAGAAACGAATCCTTCACAACGTAAAATTTTTCTGACTTAAATTAGAATACCATTCTTTGAGTCAGTATTTGTCTACATTTTTACTACAATTTTTTCGGCCAATCAAATTTAAAAAAATTCATAACTTTGGCAAAAACGCTTTAATTTTAATTCGGAAAGCGTTCCAATGCTAGTTTTTATCAGTTTAAAGAAACTGCATACTCAAATTTACATTTAAAGAGATTCAATTTTTTTCCAATTTTTGGCAATTTTAATGATGTAACCCTTATAAAATTTTTAAATTTTCGGAGATTTTGACAAAAAATAGATTTTGGCCGGAGACGGATCAATCGACTCGGCTGATCATGCTGATCAATAATATATATGGTTTATAGGGTCGGAAATGATTCCTTCATAGCGAAAGAAGCTTCTGACTAAAATTAGAATACCATTCTTTGAGTCAATATTTATAAACATTTTTCCGACCAATCGAAGTTTAAAAAATTCATATCTCAGCTAAAAACTCTTTTATTTTAATTCGGAAAGGCTTCCAATGTTGTTTACTATCAGAGTAATAAAACTGCATACTCGGAAATGACTGCTCCGCAGCGAAACAAGCTTCTGACTTTAGTAATAATGCTTTTCTTTGAGTCGATTTTTATTTATTGTGGTGTATATGCCTTAGCAGCGATCGGAAATTTACATATAATCTTGGAAAATCAGAAAAAGTCGAAAAAAAGCATTTAGGATTTTATATACCAATTAGAGCTACTATTTTAGTGGCGCCTTAAATTGTAGCTTTTCAACAGGATTTAACTGCTTTGTGCCAGCAAAACCAACAATTCAGCACAATTGACTGGGCAGTAAATATTTTACTTACTTTGGTTTACTGAGCCACATTTTTGTGCCACACCCTCTTGACCCACTCCCTGTCACTGCGGGGTTTTGGCTCCTTTGTCCTTTAGGCTTACTTATGTGGAAGTGTTGGCTTGTTTCGGCACTAGATTTATGCCCTTTCTTGTGCAGCTCCCCGGCTAGTCAAGGATACACAAGTATTTTATTTGTTTTACATGGATTTCTCTGCCCGACAGATTTGTCGTATTTTATGGCACAAATAAAGCCGCAAACAGCTGAACAAAAAATAAACAGAACAAAGGAAAGGACCTGCCACAAAGTGAAGTTCATCCAAAGGCGAAATCCTGGATTTATTTCCCAAATATCCCTTCTTGAGTAAAAAGTCTTTTGGTTTGTTTTTAATTTCTTGTTTCTTTTTATTTCGCTTCATCGTTTCCTTCAGTCTTCGTATAAGAAATAACATTTTGTGGTTGCTGTGGGTGTGTCTATCATTTAATTAAATATTTTTGCGTATATCGTATTATTAATATTTAAACTTACGGTTGCCTGTTGGGTTTCTGCTCTATGCTCTTCTTGTTTTTTTTTTATACACAAACTGTTTTTCCTATATTCAGAGATTTTTCTGTGGGTTTTTCTAAATGCATTTTGTGCATTTTCTGTCTGCGTTTTGATTTTGCTTATTTTTAGTATTCATTTTTTGTGTTGCATTTTAGAAATATATTTTTACACTTGCTTTTCATTTGTTTGTGTGTGTATGTGTTTCGTGTGTTGTCGCATTTAATTAAATTATTATTTGCAATTGAAAGCCCGAAACCGAAAAATAACAACAAACGAGAGCTTTGATTCAGAATTATTGCTTTTTGGGAAATCATTTATGCTTAAACCAATATCCGCTGATGCATTTGACTAATGTTTTTCCAAATGCACTCTGCCGTACATAAATTATTTACAGTAATCGTACAGACACTCGATGGAGTGCTTTATTTATATACAAATTATATTAATTATTAGCTCAACTTTGAGTTCTGGCTCACTAAGATAATGTAAAGGTAAGTGTTTAATATAATTTTAATTTAATTTGTTTAGTTTTCCGCTTAAACTTGTCGCTTATATTGTCCTTCGAGAGATGTTTTTGCCGCTGAATTTGTAGGAAACGTGGGAATTTGAGAGGCTATGTATGGTCTTCAAAAGGACCCCTGATCCCTTTGGCAGTTTGGATTCATTTTCATTCAGTTAGTTCTAGGCTCTGGACTGGACTGGACTATTTGGTCCCCATTTCGTACGTTATTTTGCCTGCCAAAGTCGGTGTCGCTCCGTAGAATCCGCCATAGAAAAGCCCCCTTGACATATTCAGCAAAAATCAAAATAACTCTTACCTCATTGTTACATCTAATATATATCCATATATATATATTTAATTAAATTCACTTGTAAGTTGCTTAAACACTAGACGCTATCTAGAGTATTCGAATGCTAAATGCCACTTTAACTATGAGTTCTGGGGAGAGAAATAGTGTGAGATGTGAATGCAGTTAGCTTAGTGTTTCTTTGAAATCGTATCCGGTCTTAGGCTAGCGGTTAGTATACATATCTAATATATCTGGTATCTGTATCTGTATCTGCTATCTGCTATCCATAGGTCATTAAGAGTATTTGTATGCTTGCTATACACGTAGACATATCCCTTGTTTCATTTGACGCTTGTTAAACTTTGTTTCGAGTTACCTCTGTCTCTGTAGTTGAGAAAAAAAACAACTAAGTCAATTTAAGATAGAGCAGGTATTTAGCAGAAATCTCAAACAGGAGTTCGTGAATTGGAAATTTTATAGATTTTGTAGTTTATAGATTTCTGATTTGGTTTTTCAAGTTTTCTGAGTTGTTTTCTGTGCTTTTATTCATATATTTTTAAGTAAACAAACTAATTGTTGCGCTAAAATTATTTTAAAAAAATGGGAATTTAAAATCTCATTGAAAAATATTTCAAATGTATAAAAAACATGTATAAAAAAAGTAAGAAAACTCAAAACAATCTACAAAACTCCCAAAAACTGTAACCAATTTGAATTCTTCTGCTAAATACATCCCCCTAAAATCCTTTCTGCCCTTTATCCTCCCCTTAACTTTCGCCTTAATCTAACCTCTCACTTTCCCTGTTTATATTTTTCCTTGAATTAAACCCCCTTTTTCTTATTTATTCTTTAATTTTCCAACTCAGAACTGACCGCTGCTGGTCTTGGCGCTCTGAACACAGCCCCGATAGTTGTTGTTATTGTTGTGGTGGTGGTGGTTATGGTGGTGATAGTTCAGTCCGACCATTTCCATCTCCGTATCCGTCTCCAGGTGGGATCCCTTGCGTCCACGTCATACGTAGACCACGTGTGGTTTTCCCGCCGCAGGTGGCACTGGCGAAGGTCCTGCCGAGGATGCTGCGGAGGAGTGATTGAGAGCTGCCGCCTGTTTCAGCTTGGTCATTGTGTGCGTATCCGGGTATTCGTAGTGATCGAAGCGCTCGTACAGATGCTCCGGCTCATCGTCAGCCTCCTTGACGGGCAGTTCCCAGTGGTTAAGGGCCCGGTAGTCATTGACTATGGTCTGGGCCTTGATATACCGCTCCAGATCCGATTTATCCAGCTGCGGCATGGTGGCCTGTTGATACTCATGGCCCACACCATTGCCCAGGTGAGACTGAAGGGGCATGGCCGCTTGGTGGTAATGATGATGGGCCTGCAGGGTCTGTGCGTGATGCGGATAGTTGAGGGACATGCCCAAGTTATTACCATGGTTACTACCGCCCAAAGTCATGCTCATGCCCAATCCCATGCCGGGATTATGGTTCTGCAGGATGCGATCGTGCACATTGATGATGCTCTTGCTGGTTCTCAAGGGACCCCTATCGTGCAGAAGCTTCCTGCGACGCTTCACAAATCGCAGATAGTACAGGACACTCACTCCGATCATGGTCACCAGCAGGCAGGTGATCACTGCACACACCACGGTGACAATGTGTGCTGGGCAGGTGATTTCACCCTCGCTCATGGTCAGCAACTGCCGGCGAGTTCTCAGCTTATCCCGCCAGATATCACAACCGATTTGCTGGCGATCCATACGCAAGATGCCCGAATTCCTGTTCGAGGAAGAGGTGGCCAGCTCATAGGCACTCGGTTCGGTGGTGTGCAAGGCATTGACTATATGCTGCTCTGCGATATAAGCGGCCAAGGCAGCCACACCATCGTCCGTGGAGGCCTCATCCGCCTGCTCGTCATCCTCTCCATCTGCCTCCTTAGCCAAGGCAGCCACTGCTCCTCCTGCAGCATGCTCAATGGCAGGATCTACTCCCTCGAAATTCCCAGTTACCAGCCGCCAGAGCCACAGCAGTGAGCAATTACACTGCAGTGGATTATCGCCAAGATATAGTTTCTGCAACTGATCCACCGGGAACTGGGCAGAGTAAAGGGTCTGCAGACTGTTGCTCTGCATGAAGACCTCCAGGATATTGGGATTTCCCTGGAACAGACGCATCGGTATGTCGCTCAGCTGGGGATTGTTGTTCAGGTGCAGCGTCTGCAGGTGGGTGTTGTCCACAAAGGCTCTGGAAGGGATAAAAATAAAGCAGATTTTAATTGGAAGCTATATAATATAGTAGTTAAATATGAAGCCTTGAACCCTTTGAATATAATATATAATACCTAGTTTATACAAAACTTTTTATGTACGATTTTCCTTGAAATCTCATTAGGTTATAAATAAAACCTTACAACCTATTCATGAATTTCGTTTCGAATTTTTCCCCAGTGTCTGCTCTAATTAGCCGACTGTCTGTTTTATACCCGGAACATTTATTCGTCGTGGCTTTTTATTTTATTTTATCCAACTGCAGCAGCAGCAGCAGCTCTATGTCCTGTGTGTTCGTTCGTTTTAATTATGCACACTGTACGATGCATCGGCGTTCAACTTAAATGCCAGGGCAATGAAATACATGAATAACATACATACATTCAGCAGATTTCCCGGGGAAAACACACACATGACAGCGTCAGCTTCGACTTAAGCGACATGGATTTATTTAGCCTGCGTCTATTTCAACTTAATAAAAGGGGGAGGACGGGCAGGAGGATCCTGAATGAATGGAAAGAAGGATGCAGGAATTAAGGGGGCAGCGAGGAAGCTGACAAGGCTCCGTGTTATTCGAGCTTCGTGGAGCGTTGTCGTAAATCCCTGCCAAGTTAAGTCAACGCGCTAAGTCGCTGACTTGGAGAAAAGGATGCAGTGAGAGAGAGCAGCTGGATGTGTGTGTGTGTGTGTGTGTGTGTGCAGTGCATTACCCCGGTACCTAAGACCCCAGACCCTATTCCTGATCCCTATATCCAGAGCCCTGCCAGCAGACAGTATTCTCCGCAAGAAATAAGTGCAACGTGGCGTATGAGCAACATTGAGCGAGCTCCGCCGTCTTGACTTACTCCGCTGACACAAAGCGAATTTGTCGCTTTTAAGCGTCCTGCAAGCAGCAGCCAACATTTCATTTCAATACCCAGAGAGTCGTCTCCAGCATTTCATGTTAAATGAACGCATTTATTGCACAAGCTGCAAGTTGCAGTAGCAGTTGCAGTGGCTCCCAAGGATCCCCAGGATTCCCGCATTGATTTGATAAGTGGCTGCATTTTGCTCGGTTCCTTCGAGGCCATAAGTTTGCTGCGAACTCAGTCGACTGTGGCTGCCACTTGTGATGAATTCGAATCGCAGACTGTGCCAATGAGCTCGAAAATTGTTTGTCAGCTCTTCAGGGAAGGGGGCGAAATTCATTAAGTTGACTGATGACCCAGGAAATGGATTGTTTTTAGGACTTTTTTGGTAAAATCAAAGAAAGTTTGCGGGAAAATACAATTTAAAATCATTTATAAACTTCCCAAAATTCAAGAGTATTATATTCTGTTCAACATTAAACCAAAACACAAATATTCTATATAAAAGCACCCCAAAATTTCTTTAAAAATTCAACTTAATACCCCCTAAATATCTTCCAGACACTGTCCCAGCCAGACACACTAATCTTATACCCTCACATACCAAATCCCCTCTCAATATTTACCTACGCTCAACACCACTCCAACCAACTATCTTTCCACCTTTCGAACATTCAATTTCATGGCAAGTTTAACATTTAACTTAACTACGTGGAAAAAAACTTTGCGAAAAAACCTCAATTGCAGGCGCACTTCGTTCAACCTATAAAAAAATGAGACTTTGCATAACCAAAACAAACTCGGTCTGCATACGACATAAGCCGAAATTTACCCAAAACAATTTAGCGGGTAGACCGAACAACAAACAGGAGCGACAGGAGCAAAAAATAAATTCAATTATTTGTGCAAATATTATGCAAATAACCGACAGAGGCGAAACGTGACATCTAAGAAAGTTTCAGCGACTAGAAGAGCTCTACAGGTTGATGATTTACCTGTGATCGACCTGTTGGCGGGCCTAAAAAAAATAGAAGAACTCAGTGACAAAAGGCTAAAGTACGGGAGAGAGTATGGAGAAGGACTTTAGTCCCACCTTTTTGCTGTTTGGCTTTGGTTTTTCGGTTTGTTCTCCCCGCGATTCAAACTTCATTTTGCATGTTTCATGTTTTCGACTGGCTACCCTCCCATCCTTGGCGCGCTTCCTTTTATTTTCGGGATCCTTCTTTTTTGTTACAGGACTATTTTGTCTGCGTTTGCCAACGTCAAACGTGCGGAAATGGAAATGGCTGCCATGTGTGCGTATGTGTGGTGCTGTGCACTGTGGGAAATTATGGGGGAAGTAAATCGAATCGAATTTTTTTTCGACAATTCAAAATTAAAAAAATCATAACTAAGCAAAAAAAGCATTAATTTCAATTCGTTTCTTTTTTAGTTTTTATCAGGTTAATAAATCTGCCTACTCATTTAAATATTGAATTTCGAATTTTGACAATTTTAATATTTGGAAAATTTTGAAAAAAAAAATTATTTCGACCGGACATAGCTGGATCGACTCTCCTGTTAATGCTGTTCAAGAATATATATGATTTATAGGGTCGGAAATGACTCCTTCGCAGCGTAACAAGCTTCAGAAACAAATTAGAAAATCTAATAAGGCCATAAAAACTGGCATAAATACTACTAGAAAATAATAGTTTAAGTAAAATATTTTATTTTCCTTATATAATTTCCCTTGACTTATTTTCTTTAAGTGTTCTTGTGTGCCGCATAAATGTTTGCCTTGTTTCGTTTTCCTTCTTTTTCCCTTTTGGGCTCATATGCAAATTGTCTGTGTGTGCGGGAGAGTGTGTGGTGTGGTGTGTGCGAGCGAATCCGAATTGGAATTGCTCGAAATCCGATTGAAATGTTTGCTGTCCATGTTCGCTGGGTTTTCAGTCACGATTCCCAGGACTTTGGGACTTTACACACAGAGCGTCAGAGTTCACTCACATCATCGGGCGGGGTCCCTCCAGCTCAGTCAGGCTGTCTGGACAGTCAATCAGTCAGTCTGTCAAACAGTTTGTCAGTCGCTTTTTGATATAGTTTTGAATGGCAGTCAATCCTCATCGGTCTCCCTGGCTCCCTGACTCCTTGCCATACCATACTCTGCCGCAAATCCTTTTGCTCTCTATTCATTTGATTGACGTTTTTAACAACAACAAAATATGGCTAAGCTGTGGGATCTCTCTCTCAGGGTTCATTGAGCCTTTTGACAGTCAGTTAGTACACCTTTTTTTTATAGCCATAAACCTGCTGAGGGGACATATTATCAAATGATATGGTCGCGCAATTCGTTAATGACATTTTAAACGTTTTTAAATTACGCATACGCCCCATGTGAGGTCCTTTAATTTGCCAGTCAAACGTTAGTCAAGGGGGCGTTGTAACAAGGACATGGAATATGTGGGGAAATGCAAAAAGAAAATATACTTCCTTAACGCCCATTTAATTTTATATAATTATAGTTTATAATAACAAGAGCCATAAGGGAGGTAAATATTTTAAAGTGAAATGACTTAAAAGAGTGTTTAATCTTTTAAAAAGAAAAAATCTTTGTAATTTACTTGTAAATGACAATAAATTAAAAGAAAAAATTTCAGATATTAATAGAAAAATTTAATTTGCAATTTATATTCCTTGTCAAACGTGTGTATACAAATTTGTATAAACCCAACATAAAAGCCTTACTAAATGAAATTTGTAAATATTTAATCCTTAAGCCCCATTTTTTCCACACAAATTCCCCTGTATAGTCATTCATTGTTCATGCATTAAATATTTATAGAAAAGAGTTAAGCGTTAAAGCAACTCTCTGGCAGTTAATGATGGCAATTTGTCAGAGCCTTTTTTTCCACTCTATAAATTTGTTATCTAATTATGTCACAAATGCATAGAAAATGTATGTATAAACATGTGTATGTGTGTGGAGAGCTAATTATGCTCGTACACCGAATGACAACATTTATGTCACACACACTTGGCGTCATGTCCTCGCAGTCCTTGTTTTTATTTGCCGGCAACGACATTTGCCATGTTTCCCATTGAAAGGACAAGAGCGCTTAAAGTGGCCATTAAATTGAACTTTCAATATGATTATCAGGCAGGGAAGTGAATGACTGCCATTTGCAGGAGTCAAGCGGATAAAAAGTTGCCATTTTTTTCTGTATTTCGTATTCCCTTTTCTCAAATTAAGGAAATATGTCAGCGTAATGAGCCAACAACGGTAGGGCTGCGAAGGGTAAACATGAACATAGCGCTGGGCACACGACCTTAGTTTTCCTTCTCCTTCAAAAGTGAGGCAGTGCCAACAGAAAAATGTAAACAACAGAAAGCTGAAGAAAAGACAGGAAGAAATTACGGAAACAGGAAAACATAAACATGTTGCCGGTGCTGGCCATATTTTTCCATAAATTATGAGCTGCAAAATACATATATATATTTTCAAGGCAGTGGCAGTGGCAGTACCTCAAGACCCCCGGAGTAGCTATTATGCGTATTTATCAGGTTCCGCCTCTTCTCTAAGTCTGTCTGCTTATGCATATGCATGTTCCACCCCCTTAACCTCCAACCCCTCGGTTGCACTTGAATTTTGAGTTGAATTTAAATAAAGTTAAACTTTGGCATAATGAGGCAGCAACAATGCCAGGTGAGAATGATGAAAGAACTCAAGGTGAAGAGGAGAGGCTCCTGCCAGCAAGAAAGTGAGTAAGCAACTTGATTAGCTCCGTGTTTTTTTATTTTTAAGTGTTTCTGTTTTAAATGAATAACAAGACAAGTGGCAATTAGCCGGAAGTTGGAGGGAAATTACAAATTTAATTGATGTTCTTAGAGAAAATAAATAATATATTTTCCAGGGCCAGGCAGCGAGTAAACAAGGAAAAAGATTAAGCACAAACTGTACTCTTGTTTATTGGTGCATTAAAACCTTGGTTGAACTTTCTTTGCTTTTAATAAGGAAGATATATTTATCAACCTTAACAAAGTAAAATTATACAATTTACAACCCCTCTCAATTATTTTGACCTGCCAAAAGAAATGTTATCTTTCTAGAGTTGCTTCTAGTTCCTAAAAACTTTATATTTTAGACACATCTCTACGGTTAATAACAAAGGACATCTGCTTGAATTGTAGCCCATGTCCTGGAATCCCTTTCTACACCACAATGACTCCATTTCTAATCCATTACAGCCAGAAGCACAGTCCATTACACTCGAATTTAATTCCCAATTGTCGCATCCAACAACCGGCATCCATCCTCATCAGAATTCCGAGTGAGGTCCCCGTTTCCCCTTTTTTGAAACATTTTGGAGAGCAACCCCAAAGGGCTGGACTGCCACAAAAACAAATGTCACACATGTTGGAGCCCCGCATAAATTTTAAAACAATTAGTTTCAATTTCGGAAGCCACACGGCCAACACCTACCTAGCTCTGACTTTCTGCCTCTGTTCGTATTAAGTCATGTTCACTTGGTATTCCCTTTGAAATTCTGAAACGAAACTCCGCCTGTCCACAAATAATTCCCCTCGAATTCGAAGGGTTGTTTGTTTTTCCAGTGGAATGAGGAATGGGGCGGGTTGGGAGGATGCATAAAGGACGTGATGCCGCCTAATGAATTTTGCCAAGGACTCGCTGGCGCTGATTGTTTAGGTGTAAGGTTTCCATAATGAGCAGCACAGCACACACACGGTGTTGTTGGGGAAATGTATCCTGTCGCCCCATAAACTTGACTATCAACGTGTCGCCATCGGTGCTCACTCGCTCCTGGCTCGTCATTTTCCCAACCTATCCACAGATTTCAGATTTCCATTAACGCATTTGCATAAATATTTACATGTGTGTCTCTCCCCCCTTTAACTTTAAAATGTTTTGCTGTTTCGCTATTTCCTTGAAGGAAAACCTGTTGTGAAGGCAGACTTTATATGCGGCAAGGTAACAATTTGTTTCGGCAACCCTTTCAAAATTTTGTTGCGTTGGTTGCTCCCTTTTGGGCAAATGAATTTTACATCAACTTCTTCTTTATGATTCCCCGAAAAAAAAACAAAATAAAAAATATTACGTACATAATTTCCTGTAAGCAAAAAAGGAAGAGAAGAGACGGCCGACAGGATGTTGGGAGGAGAACTTAAAATATTCAAGATTATTTGAAACTGGGGAAAATTAAGAACTTGTATCTCAGAAAACTTGAAATACCTTTGAATGAACTTTATGGTAGAGTAAGTAAAGTATATTGTTAAGGGTTTTTATAATACTTGTATTTATACCTATTATTTCAAGTATATCTGGCATTCTTAACTTATTTAATTAGTTCACCAACAGTTGCACATTTTCAAGGATAGAAAACATGCATATAAAACAGAAAAAGGTAATTTCTCAGATCCCTTAGGGAATTCCTGAAAATCCTCAGATAGTTTTAAGTCTCTAAATATATTTCCAGCCCCAAGATATAATAATATTCCATCTTATGGATGCAAAACTTGAAATTCCACAAAATTAGCATAAGGCGGCAAGATCTCTTTTTGTTCGTCAGTCACTCAAGTCAAGACAAACATGGAATTTAGTTTGCAAATCAGTCAACGCAGACAGACTTACTACTATACACATACTATATATATAAGCTCTCGAATGTGTGCAGATTGAGCAACAATTTCAACAGTCTGCGAACAATTTTAGGAAGGGGATAAAAGTTTACACAAGACTGAGACAGACTCTGAGACAGAGACCAAACAAAAGGCAAAAGCAATTACAAAGGCCAATTCAAGGGGTGGGTGGGTGGTTGGTTGTGTGGGTGGGAAAGGGGCTAGCAGATAAACCCTAAACTTGGCCTGAACAAAATCAAACGAAAATTCCAAATTAAACTCATTTAAATGGCATATGATGCTCGGTCTCGTACTCAGTCTCTCATCATTCGACGCTTGTCATGTAAGTCATGTTAATGTCATTGTAAAGCGGCATGTCGCCTCCCCTGTAAAAGGGGGCGTGGCTTGTGGCTATATAACGGCTGCTGCTGCTGCTACTGCTGAACCTCCCTTGTCGGCGGTTGATTGACATGGAAGGGCAGAGTGGCAGTAGTCCTCGTCTCGCATCGAGTCGCTTCGTTCATTGATTTGATATGAAAATTGCCTGGAATTATTGAATTAACATATGCTCGAGTTGAGCTCAAGCATTTCCCATTTTCCCCCTCACTACCCCCGGAGTCTTTCTGTGTGCTTGTGTGGCGGCATCTTATTACCAAAAGCGTATTAGACATGATTGATTGCATTGAGCAATAATGATTTGTCTGCCGCTTAGTTCGGCAGCTAAAGGGAAATTTGCTTGATTGTTGTATAAGTACACAGAGGGAAATAGGTAGTAAGAAGTTTCAACTAAAATGAGGAATTTTTGCTTTCTAAAAAAGGGTAGAAATTAAGAAAGATGAAGTAGATGCTTAAAAACAAGTGATGCAGAATCCTTTGCCAATAATTTATTATCATTTGCAGCAAAGCTAATTACAATTATAGGAACTGTAAATATTTTTGTCTCAGTGTCCCTGTTATTGGGTGAATTTCTGAAGCCTTTAATGGGCGTGTAGGTCACGTGCAAGTGTGTGAAAGTGAATGGTTTGATTAGTCTGAAATTCCAAAGAGAGTACGTCTTCTTGGCAAATTGTTCAGAATTTCTATTTGGCAGATACCAAGAATACTTAATGATTAATTTACAAAGGGAGAAAGTGCAAATGAAAGCCATTATTTAGTAAACATTTTAATCCCTTAACAATATGATTACAGACTTAAGCTAGCTTGGAGTTGACTTTAAGCTCTGAAAAGACTTCTCGAATATGTTTGCTCCTTAAGTTTTTCAAATCCCAATGGTTGGTAAACTCTGCTAACGTCTGTCTTGTTTATTGTTAGCTCTTTGGAAAACAAATAGTTTCGTTTTCATCTGACCTGACCCAGTTCCTTCTTCTTGGGGATCATCGAGAGAGTTGTTTTGGGAGAAAAACTTTTTTGGACTAAGAACTTACCTCGAATCGATGCGCTGCAAATAGTCAAGCCGACTCAAATGCAATTCGCGCAAATGAAACAAGTTGAGGAAGGCGACGGCGGGTAGCTGGGAAAAGCGATTTCCACCCAGGTTCAAGTAGGTGAGGTTCGAAAGTTTCGACAACTGCTGGGTGGGCACCATCTGCAATAGATAGAGAATAAAAATGGGAATCAGAAGGAGAACGAGAACGAAGAACGTTTTATTTGGAGTACAAACTTTTGCCCTTCTGGATCTTATCAAATATTAATGCTGGCCACTCAACTTTAAAAACGTTTTGCGGTTTGTACAAAAAGGGCTGTTGTCCTTCACCCCAAATAAAAAAAGGGAACACTAAATAGTGCTAGAGAGACCGGAATAGAAAAAAATAAAAGGAAACCGGAAAACACGCCGAACAATCAATACGAAAGCGTTGTTTAAGCGACTGCAGCGGAAACGGAAACGCGCGTCATGTACTTCCGTTTTTGCTCCCTTTTTGCGTTCAATCACTCCGACCGGCCAACAAATTCGTCTCTAGTTGTGGTACCCTGTACTTAATTGGGCCGAGGGTATATTGTACTTTGGGTAAAGCTATGTTAGCTATTTAAATTTTGTAAATAAGATGTACTTGGCAGAATTTTTACTTCAAGCCCTGAAATGTATGCTACATAATTTTTTTAACAAGCCATTTGTGACCACCGAGTATTTCGAATTCGAGCTGATTTTCTTCCCTTTCGTCTTTTTTTTTTTTTTTTGGGGGGGGGGGGCAATAAAATCAATCTTGCAACGAATTTGTTACAACTACTGAGACAGCTTTGAGGAGAGTGTGGCATGCATAAAAGAAAAGGCTCCCTTTCCTTTCCCAGGGAGCGGGTCAAAAGCTTTTGGCTGTAATTTTGGCTGCCAGTTGTGTTCACCTTCTTGTGCTCCTCATTCCTCTTTTCTTTTCCCCCTTTCTTCGCTTTCTCTCTCCCCTTTTTTACCCTCTCTCCCTTAGCGTGTCGGCGGAAGCTACGTGCCAGGCGCCCGGACACGAACATACTCCGCGATAACGTAATGAACTTTTGGGTTGGCGGGGGAAAAACTCAGGGAAAGCGATGTGGGAAAATAAAGAAAATTTTTGGGAGGAGAGTATAACATGGAAGAAGTGAGTTGGTGTGTGTGTGTGGGCTGGCCGAAAAGCTCATAAGGCAGCGAAAATGGTTGAAAATTAAAAGGCATTACGCATACGCAATGTAGGCCAAGCCCGGCAATTGTTTAACCAAATGGCAACACTTTTTTTCCAGCACCCCTTTTACAATTTTTCTTTTTGATTTCTGTGTGTGGGTGTGGGTGGGTGTGCTTTTGATGTTTGCACTGCACTCAAAGGGAAATCTGGACTAATTAAAAGGCTTTTCCTCTCTTTTCGCTCGCCCTTTTCCCTCTCTAGAACTGCAAGAGGAGGGAGCAGAGTGTAGAAATATATATGAAAAAGGGTGAGAAGAGCCAGAAAAGAAAGTGAAATTATATTGACTTTGATTTTGCAATTTAATTTCCTTTTTCCCTTGGCTACAATCAAATCGAACTGAATAGAGAGGGAAATGCGAAAATGAAAGCTAATTGGCAAGCAATTTAAAAGGAAACATCGAAAGCAAACTTTAAGCTTAGTAAATTATATTATTAAGCAAAGCTTTCAGCGCTCTCATCTTTTAATCATTCCAAATGTTATGTTCCGCCCAGGCTCACACATGTGAAAATTCCCAGAAAGAAAAACATACAACATACACGTGGCATTTTCATGGAAATTTATGGCAAAACGATTTGCTCAGCTTGTGCAACGGTACGCAAAATTTATGCAGCTCAAAAACTAAAGCTGAATGCAAAAAAATATGGCAAAATAAATAAATTCGGATGAAACTATATTTTGTATTCTCTGGAATATTTTTGCAATTATTCTGTTTAATCTGAGAGGGAGAGAGTGCTGTGAGTGCAATAATGTTTGTGTATATTTATGCACTTAATGCAAAATCACAGCACACCCCCTAAAAGAAACAATAAGTACAAATCGAAACAACTGTTTTAACGCCCTCCCCTGCTTCTCCACCATCAGCAAATATTTTTGTTGAATTATGAAAATGTAAAATTGTGCATAAGTTATTTCAATCTAAAATGAATTTGTTTGTTCAGGATTTTCATTTGGGACAAAGCAAATGGAAAATGCATTGTGGAAAATGCTGAAAATATATGCAAAATTTAGAATAATCAGTCAATTGTGCGAAATATTTACTTTAACCATTTATTTTGATTTATTTTTGCCTATAACTATTTATTTTGTTTTATTTTTGCCTCTAGCCATTTGTTTTGATTTATTTTGGCTTTTAATTCGTGATATGAAAATTGAGGGAAATGATTTTTGGCGAATAGAAAACTTAAATAGAAATTAACAGAGCGGGAATTATGTTTAAGCTTAAAAACTTATTTGTTAGGTTTTAAAATGGGAATTTATTGAAATTAGTGAAGAATAGTAAATGAAACTTTTATTTATATTTATATTTATATATATTTTTATTATATTTATAACATTTAATTTTTTATAGTGCAAAGTAACTAATACAAATTAACCTTCCTAATAACACTTTCTGTTCCATTTAAACTGCTTCCTAACACACTTCATAAATCATATTCAAGCTTAGAATTTTGCATGCTTCATGAGCTCATGTTCCAGACTCCAGACTCCCGCATTTTCCTGCATTTTCCCTTCACCCGGAAAAACTATGCAGATGCAGACAACAATTTCATGCACTAGCCGCATGCCGAAATGGTTCTGGATCGAGTCGAGGGATTTATATCCTCTCGCTCTCGCTCTCTGTGTCCCTGCATAATAAAACAACAATCTGTCCAATAGGAAAAAGAATGCCATTTGGAAAATACCGAAACAGGTTGGCAGGACGCAGGGGGGGCGAAAGTGGTATGGGCGTGGCGGTGGAAAACAGACCATATTTCAACTACAAAATGCCAAAAGGTATTTTAAGTAGTTTCGAACTGATTCCGAGCGCCATAAATTCCTCAGGAACGTCAGCCGTTGCCGTTGACTACACGCGGTTTTCCTGCTTTTACTGCCTGCCATTGCACCTGCTTAGGAGCTGGGATTTTAGCCATCAGACAGGACACACACACAGCGTACAACACACCACACACTCACACACATTATCCCCGTCCTAACGACCATAAGTATATAGATATATACAGGAATCCCAGTGGCACAAGAAGCCGTAGTCCACTCCTTCTGAGTCCAGGACTCGGGCTGCATTGCATCCATCAGTTTGCATAAACAGGCTGCTGATGTTGCAACTACAGCAAGTACAGGGAGAAAAATATATTAAGGTATTTTCTGATAACACTGTTGAAGGTAAAGAACATTTGTTTAATATTAAAAAATATTTCAAACGAATTTCTTTTATGTTCTTGATTTTAAAATACTTTTCAAACTCATTTTTAGGGAGGCAAGAAAGGTTCTTGAATCTTACCAACTATAGCTTAAATAGTGGATCTAGTTCAATACATTTCTTAGTAGCATACATGGTACATTTTCTCTCAGTGTTCTGCCTGTCTGTGATTACATAAAAACGCATTTCTGGAGACTTTACCTGGGCCGCCCTCCTGTTCCTCATCTTCCGTGAGAGAGCAGAAGGACATGCAATTTTACCTTTGAGCAGGGGATTTGCACAACTCAACTGGAAGTTAGTTCTCTACTCCTTTTGCCAGACATTATCCTTGCTGCCTCCTTTTAACCTGTGCCGTGTCCTAATGATTTGGTTTTGGTCAATTTAAAGACGAAGGCCATAAGGGGCTTGAAATAGAGCTTAGCTGGGCATAGTTTCGATTGGTTTATGTAGGGAATAATAACTGGAAACATATTTACTTAAGGAATTAATTTACTTTGATGACATTTTAGAGTTCATTCAGACCTTTAAATACTTTGCTTTAAATGCTCTGTTTCCTTATTTAAAACTATGTTTTTTATCGGAAGTTTCTCTTATTTCTTCTTAAGCCCAAACTCTTTTGCCATTTAAGCTCTTGAGTTCGATATCTTCGGCAGTCTTTCTTCTTCCTTTCTTCGATTCCGCATCTGAGTTTCAGCTTTATCTTGACCTCGCTCACATTTCGGTTCACATTTCTTGCACAATTGTCTGGTCGTAAAGTTTAAGCAGCTTTAAGCTGGCTCAGTTGCCGGGCAACCAACCAGGCGACGGGGGAAAGGGGAAAAATCTGGGAAAAACCCAGGGAAAACGCTGGCGAAATGGCCGAGGGCCTAAGCAAAGAGTGTGCAGCAGCAGCAGGAGCAGGAGCCACACCCACAGCAGAAATCAGGCGGCACGGACATGTTTGCATGCATAAATAGCAGAAAGGACATGGCCGGCAGAAAGGACGAGTGCGTGTATCCTCGGCTTGGGTTTCGGGGTGTGAGTTTGGTCTAGGGAAGTATGTGCGAACGGACAGCAACAACGAGTTATGGTTATTAATTTTGCGTATGCAAAATGCAGCTAAAACCCAGGAAGGACGAACTTAAACGAGGCGAAGTGGCACAGGGCAGGGCGGGGCAATGCCGGGAAATCCGCTTTGGCAAAGTGTTGCTCACAGGATTTAGTCCTGGCAAAGTGTCTAAATTTATGAGACAGCCCAGGCAAGTTCTGCTGCGGTTAAGGGCTGGAATGTTTTGGTGAAAGTTCACACTTGGTTTTGTCTTAGGAAAAGTGAATTTAATATAGAGAAAGGATAATATAATACAACATTCCTGGAGTTTAAGAAAATTTAACTCACCGTTAAATTATTATCTGCCAAATCCAAATGCTTCAGCGATATCAGTCCCTCGAAGGCACTCACATCCAGCTCGCTCATCACATTGCCCCTCAGACTCAGGGCCAGCAGCTCCTTGAGTCCTTCAAAGCTATCGTTTCGCACAAATTCCACAAGATTATCGGACATATCCAGGCTCTTGAGGGCATGCAAATGCCAGAGATTACTCGCTGGGACGTCCAGCAATCGATTATTCCGGAATACCAGCACCTCCAGCGTGGGCATGCCTTTGAAGGAGTTATCCTCCATGCTCACAATATTATTATTCGTGAGATCCAGCTCCACCAGTGAGGCCAGATCACTGAGGGCCGTGGGATGCACCGTTTCGATCCTGTTAAAGCTGAGGTCCAGCAGGAGCAGGTTGGTGAGTCCCTTGAAGGCGTGCTTGTGCAGGGAACTGACCAGGTTTCGACTCAAATTCAATGTTCTCAGCTCCGACTGGTACTCGAAGTTCTTGGAACCCAAGGTTTCGATTATATTTTGCGAGAGATCCAGTATCTCCAGCTTCACGTAGAAGGGAAGAGCGTAATCCAGGTTACGTATCCGATTCAGGGTGAGGTTGATGTATTTGGTCTCCGGATTTAGTTGGATGGGGACATCCTCCAAAGCGGCGTCCACGCAGAGAGCTCTACTGTTGGTCTCTCCTCCCAGGCACTGGCATTTCGAGGGGCAGAAGGCCAGGGATTCCAGCGGAAGGAGCACCAGCAGGAGCAGGAGCAGAACGGGTATGGCTCCACTTAACCATGGCCTACTGCAGCTCCTTGTGGCAATGCCTGTTGTGCGGTTAGCCATTATGTGTGTTGACTCCTAGCAGGTCCTTCCTTCAAGTCCTTCCTTGTTTGCTGTCCAGTTTGTGGTGCCAAAATGTTACCACCAATTCCTGTTGAACATCCTTGGGCTGCTACTAAACGGAGGCGGCTCTGCAAGGATAATATTGAGAAATTGGAATATCAAGTAAATTTAAGTAAATATTAAGTAAATGTTTAAGTTAATAATTCGGTGTAAATTAATGCAAATATTTCATGCCAAAGTTAACAGATGCTGCGAGTCAGAGATTTCTGATAATTATCCATAAATTGGTTGAGGTTTTAATTAATAATGCAATAAATTAAATATTGAATACCGGAATGATTTGTGGAATTTTAACAGGAACTCGTTTAAAGGTAAAATGTAAATGAGACGGAAATGCAATGTATCTTTGCGGTTGCAGATGTATTTTTTGTAGACATATTAATGGTTTCATTTATTCTTTATTTGTTTCACATTTCAAGGATGTGGCTTGATATAAAAATCTTTCGAACCATTTATGATAATAAAGTGCATATAAATAATTAAATCAAACCTTAACAAAAATATGGTAAACCAGGAAATACCACTTTAAATATACCTTCACTTTGAATTAAAGTCTCAGAATTTTCTTTTTCGCTTTATAGCAACTCAAGTATCTTTTTCCAGGCAAATTAGCGTATATTTTAATGAAGATACTTTTGCCATTTGAAAGGAGTATATACTTGAAAGGACTCTCAACGAGCGCTCCCTGCTTTTCGCACCTTTTTTTGTGGGGTTTGAGAAAGAACCTGAACCTATTCTTTCTTATATATTTTTTTTATTTGGCTTGGAATTCTGGAAAAACTTTTGGCGGCACTGCAAGATTTATGTGCATAAGTTGGTAGCTAATATTTCATAAAAGTCGAGACGCAGACAGAGCCAAAAACTGAAGCTGAGAAATGGAGAGAGAGTTAACTTTTTTTGTGCTGACAACTTTGCATTCGAAAGTTGCTGACTTCCCCCAGACAGGACCAAAGGGGGATAGAGAGGATCCTAGGCCCAAGTCGGCTGCATTTTATGGTTTATAAGTTTTGCATAATGCAGTCAGTCGGACCGTCTAATAGTTATGACCATGATGAGCTCTACCGCAAAGGGAATAATAGTAGAAATAGAAATGGAATTCTGAAAAAGCTGAATATTCATGAAGAGCTGAGAAAATTTGAAACCAAAAAAGGCAGAGGAACATTTTAAATATCTTTTTTTTGCTTGCTTATGAGTATTTAATACTTAACTTGCCACTCAAAAATTACCCAATTAGTAAACGTTTAATTGCTTGATTTGATAGGATAATGCAACCCGAGAAAGCCCAATTTATCCGATTTAGAGAAACATACTTTTGGGCAGCCACAAAATCGAAATTTCTCTCTTTCCCTTTTAGCAAAATCCCCCCTTCCTGAATCGCATTTAGCTGACTTAAATTACATATTTGCCCAGCGGCAACACTCAATTAAGTAATTAACAAATTACATAGGGAAATGAAAGGATAGAAGGGGGGACACTGCCATTCAAATCCACTTGCGAGTGTCTGTCTTTCGGGCTCTGATTTGCATACAAAGGCACACACACATACACACCACACACACACACATACACACACCATACACATACACACACCATACACATACACACACACACACACACAGAGCAGCCTTTAGCCCCTCTTACACTGCGAACAATGGCCCTAACTAGCTGTAAAACAAATAATAAAAAGCAAAACGCAAACTTTTGAGGTTTCATAATGTCAACAAAGAGTGGAAAAGCACACACAGAGAAACAGAAAGAGAAAGAAAATGGAAATGAGAGAGGGATAGCGAGTTTCCTGTGGTTCTGGTTCATATTTTACGCTTCAATAAAATTGGTGAAAAAAGTCCCCGGTTCCCCCTTCTCTCCACCGTTGCGTTGGGAAAAAGTGAAAATTGTGAAAAATTCACTCCCGTGTGAATTATTAAGTTTCACATGGCAGTTGTTGTTTTCTTCCTTTTTACACAAATATATATGTATATATACGTTTGAGGGGGAGAATGTGTGTGTGTGTGTGTTTGTTTGCAAAAAGCACACAAAGTTTTTAATAAACTTTCGCACGCCAAGCGAACTCAACTTTGAACCCCCTCAAAAAATAAAAAAAAAATTATGGGAGGAGCAAAAACGAGGCACTGACGGAGGCCTATAAGTGGCCAAGAGGGGGCACACACACACACACACACACACACACACACACTCATAGTCATGATTTCATTGTGGCAAATATTTTGAAAGCAAACTTGGAGCAGTTGATTGTTGGCCCTGCTTTTTGGGGGCTTGTCAAAGGCCGCCAACAAGTCGAAAGTTTGCGGCCTGCACTTTTCAATGTTCGCCCCTTTGAGTGCCACAGAGTCAGGGGGAGGAGAGATCGAAGTGGGGCTGCTTTTAATGGGTTAATTAAATGAAAGCCAACTAAAACTTGGCTCGATAACTAAGGGAAAAAGTCAGGTGATGCGGTAGAAGTTATGGTAGATTTTAAAGGATTTAAGCCTGAAAGCTCTTTACAGTCTTTTTGAATATTTATTAAGATGAATCATGGGTTCAAAATCAAAACATACAAGTTAATTGTTGATGAAAAAAGTAAGCCTTTTTAGAAGGAACCTCTTGAATCTCTTTAAATGTTAAACAGAGTATGCAGATTCATTAACCTGCTAAAAACTAACATAGGAATGAATTCCGAATTGAAATGAATGCTTTTTTGGCTTAGTTGTGAATTCTTTAAACTTTGGTTGTGCGATTAAAATTTATGTTTCCAGAAGTTAGATTCCTTTCCTGTATTTTAGTAACTTGTAAACAATATTTAACGTTCTTTATTTCTCCATTTCTCATTTTTAAAGACTAGACTCTTGAACAAATATTTTATATATTAAATAAAAACTTATATTTTCTTTTAAAGTCTCTTTTTCTTTTCAGGGCTTACAACTTTAAGCTGGCCATAATCTGGGATTTCCCCTTGCGGATTTTCTTATCTCATTTAGGCTTGTCTCCTTAGGCCCTGTCCTGTTCCTGTTCCTGTTTTGCTGCCACTTCCGCCATATTCATTCGGTTTATGACTGCAGCTAAACCAAAAATCCAATCAACAAAGTTGTAGGTGCTTCCCAGGACACAGACACCCACACACACACGCACACCGTGAAATTCCACCTTCCTCTTCAGTTTTATAAGCTTCATTTAATTATATTGACATTGTTGGAGTCTGTATATATCTTCGTTTTTTTTCGGTTCAGGTGAGCTTGTTTTCTGGGAAAAAAACGGAGCTCAAGCAGTGACACCCGAAACGAGGCGGTGCGGCATCCCCTTATCCCACGTTCCTCATTTGAACTTAAATGCCATAAAAATGGGAAAATAATGCCAGAGCGCGGAGCATAGAGGAGTCGGAGCCGAGCAACAAATGCTGATAATAGAAATAGCGACGAGTTTTTCCGAGGAAAAGCGAAGGAGGAAGCGCTGGAGGAAGGACTCTGCGCGCCACGCATAAAGTTTGCACATAAATTTTCCAGCAAAGAGAACCGCTGAGCATGCCATTGACTTTAAAGGCCACAAATGGCAATCGAGGGAATTGCCGGGGTCACGGGGGACAGAATCTGAGGTGAGGTCAGGGTTCAGGAGCAAAAGAAGAACAGGGAAGCTGCAAAACTCGGGGAGCAATCAAAGGTGAAAAACTTTTGTGAACTATGCGGCGCAAGCGAGAGCACACAAAGTCAATATTAATATTCACTTAGGTGGCAGCCAGAGGGGTAGATAGGGTCTCGGGGGTGGCACTCTCTGACTGACAATGGCCAGGGAAAAAAGAGGCAAATGCCAAGCAAATTGAAAATGCGACGAAAAACGTGAGATGCCGTCTTTGCACTCCTCTGGTAGCTCCTATGTACTGAGGGAAAATATTTGAATCAAAGGAACCATTTTTATGAAAATGCATAGCTAAAACTATAAATATTTTAGCCTTAGTTGGGTGTATAATAAATATTTACTTTCTATTTTTTATGTGAATATTGAAAGGAGAGAAATGTAATACTTATTTTCTCCTAAAGTCTGATAAACTTTCTTTAGGCAAAACCATCTTTAAATTTCTAATATTTTATCATTGAGTTTATTGTCAATATAGCTTATATTTATTATAAATATGTACAAATAAATAATAACAATCCCTATGATTTATTAGGGTTTCTGAGAATTAGTTAATAAACTCACAAAATTCCCTTTCAAAACTTGTATACTTATTTTTTGTATTTTTTTAATATCTCTAAATATTTGTTAAATATCCCAAAAGCTAATCATTTCAACACAATTTATTACTAAATATTTTGTACGATATTCCCTTATTACTCTTTAATTTTTCCCAGTGCCTCAACGTGCCCGAGTGCGTTTATTTTTATCAAGATTAGCATTTGCTCCTCTTCCACAGACTGTGGTGGGCCTCGGGCATCCACTCCTGCTCTCTACTGGTCTTTTCCCAGCTTTTCCCCCACTACCTCCTGGCCTAGACTTATTGGATGGGCAAACACACACACACACAGAGGGGAAATGCAAAACAAAGAAATGAATTCCCAGATTTTGCACGCACAAATTGTCTCCGGCGCGGCGGCTGGCTGAGTTTTTCCCCGGCATTTTCCCATCAAAGATGAATTGCTGTTGTCACCACAGTGCACAGAGCACAGTGCAGTGGCAGCCGCTTTCCTAATGCTTTTCCTAGGCTTTTCTGGCAGCAGTTTCCATCCCACTTCACGCATAATTAATGCAATTGTGCTGTTTGGCAGCTAAATAAGAGTTTAGTTGTGTTTAGTTTTTCGGTCAGACTCTGGTGACAAAGTGAGTGTTCGTCCAAGTTTGTTCAATTAGTGGCTGCCAAGAAAAACTAAATAAATTAAGGAGCAAAATACAGCGAAAAAGATGTCCTGGCAAAGTGCAGTTTTGGCACAAAAAAACAAACTATAAATAAAGGTTTTGTTGAATAAATAAATTTGGAGATTTATCAAATAAACTTTGAGTAAATTGTGCCAGGAACCATTTAATGTATAAATATATATTCTAGTATTTAAGCAATAGCTTAAGCTCCG